ATCCTCAGAAGTAAGTGGTCAAATAAGTCAATAGACCTTGGAGGCCGGTTTCAGGAATGTAATCTAATTTTTTTTTTTTTTTAAAGCAAGACCGAGGGAATAGGATAAGGGCAAGGCCCACCAGAGACACACGCTCCAGTGGATTAGTGTCCTTTCAACCACTGTAACTTGTTCAGTCTTTAAACTTTATTTTCTTAAAAATCTTTTTTTTAATTACTGTTGTTGTGAGTCTGTATGTGGGTGTTAAAGGTGATCAGAGAACAACTTCCAGGGGTCTGGTCTACCCTTCCACAATTGGATCCGGGCTTCGTTCAAATTCAGGCTCGAGCAGCAAGCTTTCCTACCTACTGAACCATCTAGCTCACCAGCACATGGTTTTGCATGTAGAGACAGGGTGTAGCCCTGCCCAGCCTGGTCTCAGCTATGTAGCTGAAGATGACCTCGAACTCCTGACCTTCCTGCTTCTGCCTCAGACTTTGGCTCAAAGTGCTGGGTGGTGTAAGCCACCATGCCTAGGGGGAAGATTTGTTTGTTTGTTTATTATTTATTTATATATACATACATAGCCCTGGCTATCCTGGAACTCACTACATAGACCAGGCATGGAAGGATAAAGAATTTTTTGGAGGCAAGGTTACTCAGGCAGACTTCAAACTTGCAATTCTACGGTCTCCAAGTAAAGTAGCTGCTATTATAAGCCTATGTCACCTCATCCAGCTTCATCCCACATCTAATGCAGGTAAGAAGAAACCACAAAGCTGCCTCTTGTCCTCATCCGTGAAATCAGCACCACCATCCACCCAGACTTTTGAACCAGACGTAGCCTATCGTTGCCTCTTTTCACTCCCTCATCCTCTGCACCCCAAGTCCGGTCTATTCTCTTTCCCAGTTCATTCGTCAGTATCCGCAGGCAGCCAGCACCCTTGTGTGACGGTCTGCACAAATCTCACCGCTCTTCCTCTTCTCTGCCCTCTACAGTTCACTGGACACACAGGAGCCAGGTGAAGTTTTTAAGAGCACAGATTCGTCACTCCCTAACCTTCATCCCTCAAAGACTCCCTTGGCTTTCGGGGTCTCTCATGAAGACAAGCCCCAAGACCGAAGCAGGCACTGGAGGAAGAGAAGAGGACAGATACAGGGCTGGCCCGCGTCGTGGTCCATGCCTGCACCACGCTCTTAACCCCAGGAGCACAAAACTGCAGCCGGAGGATGGAGAGTTACAGTCCAGTCTAGGCTATGGAGCAAGAAGGACCCTGTCAAAAACAGTGGAGAGGAGGAAAGAAAAGAAAGGAATCTGTGACGCAAAAGAGGGCGGGGCCGGGCTCAGACCGTACCGGGTCTAGGATGGAGCCCTTCCTTTCTGATGGCGGAACCTTTCTTCCCCACCAGGACTGAGGAAAGCTTTTCCGTGGTTCCTTCCGGTGGCGTCGGCCCTATTTCCCGTGCTGCACTGCGGGCCTTTCTCTTTCTCTTCCGGTCCCAGGCGCTTCGGGAGCGGCGGGTTACCGTGAGTGTTGGCCGGGCGGCATCCGATGCCATCCGTGACTCGTGGGCGGCGGCGGGTCGCGGGGCGGGCCACGCGGGCCGCGGGGAGGACAGGGCGGGCCGCGGCGTGGCCGTGGGGCGTAGACGCTGCGGGCCGGGAGTGGTGCCGCCGTCCTCGGGGAGTGGGTGGTGGGGAGAGCCGCCCCGCGGGCCGGCAGAGTTCATTTCAGGACCCCGGTGCCCGCGTTTGGGCGCTGGGGCCGCGGTCAGTGGCCGCTGCGAGGTCGGCGGATGTCGTCAGTCGGAAGCGTCCGCTGCAGCCTTATGCGGGCTCCTTCGTGAGTTTCCCCAGTTCAGGGTGACAGGTGGCCCAGTCCGGGCAACCCCGGCCCTGATCTCATGTCTCTCCTGCAGGTTCCGACATGGCCAAGTCCAAGAACCACACCACACACAACCAGTGTAAGTTCCTGGGGCTCCAGCCGGTGCCTGTACCCTAGCCAGGACTGGCTGGGGGTTGCTAGACTTGAAGCTGGTGGTGTGTTAGCCAGTTTCGAGATGACAAGTCTGGGAGCCAGAAATCCGATTTGCACTCGGTCCTGAGTTTTCCCAGAACAAAAAAAGGACCATGACCGCTGTGATGTTAGGTCGGTGGTTCTCAACTTTCCTAGTGCCGCGACTCTTAAATACAGTTCCTTGTGTTGGGGTGACCCGCCCCCCCCCCAGCCACGAAATGATTTTCGTTGCAAATTCCCAACTGTGCTTTTTCTACTGTTATGAATAGTAAACATCTGTGTTTTCTGGTGGTCTTAGGCCACCCCTGTGAAAGGGCCCTTGGATGCCTGAGGGTCGAGACCCACAGGCTGAGAACCAGTGTCAGACGGTCTTATTAGAAGATTCCCTCCTTTTGATGTGTGGATATTTATTACCTTACAGCTCGAAAATGGCACCGAAATGGGATCAAGAAACCCCGGTCACAAAGATACGAATCTCTTAAGGGGGTGAGTAAAATACCCCTTGACTCGAGGTCCACAGTCGGGCCTGGTGTGTTTTGTTTTCTCTTTTCCTGGGTTCAGCCTCTGGCTACTCTTAAGTGCCCTTTGGCTTAATGGTTTTCCAGTAGCTTCTGTTTCCTTGACCTTCCTATCCCTGGTGTGACTTGTTCCTGAGAGCGAAAGAACTTCCCTCGCCCAGCCTTCGATGGAGGGAAGGGTTTTTGTGCATTGGGTACCTTGTGGTTTGGGTCTTGGTGCTGACTAGTTGTATGTACTTGATCCCACCCAGTACTAGACCGGGGACCACTTTCCTGCATGGTAGGTGCGTCCTAGGGGCTAGCTGAGCCTGCACCTGGCCTGCTCTATGCCTACAGTCTTGCTCTCTGAGTGAAGCTGATGGACTTGGTGTTTAATTGACCCCCTCCCCTGAGGTGGGGAGGGCGGCCCTAGGGGAATTTCACCCCCTCCAGCCCTCTCATGGCTAAGGCTAACTTGGTATATTTACGGTGTCACCCTTGTGGATAGGGGCTCCAGGAAATGACTTGGGGCTGTAATACGTTACTACATACATCTTTTCTGTTTTCCAGGTGGACCCCAAGTTCCTGAGGAACATGCGCTTTGCCAAGAAGCACAACAAGAAAGGCCTGAAGAAGATGCAGGCCAACAATGCGAAGGCAGTGAGTGCGCGTGCAGAGGCCATCAAGGCCCTGGTGAAGCCCAAGGCCGTGAAGCCCAAGATGCCAAAGGGCCCCAGCCGCAAACTCAGCCGTCTCGCTTTCATCGCCCACCCCAAGCTCGGGAAGCGGATTAGAAGCTACATGGCCAAGGGTCGTAGGCTCTGCCAACCAAAGCCCAAGGCTCAAACCAAGGCAGAGGCCTCAGCTCCAGCTCAGGCTCCCAAAGGTGCCCAGGCCCCTGTGAAGGCCCCATAGAAAAGGTTTCTGTCTGCCAGACAGATGGACTGGTGTGACACACCTACACACTATTTGCAGATGATCAGGACCCCATGCTGTTTTTACAAATAAACTTGAGGCAGGATCTGTTAACCTGTGTGCGTTGTCTTGGGACTAGGGTGAATTGGTACCCTTGCTGGAGTGGGGCAGGATTGCAGCTTTGGATGAAGAGGGTATGGGTCAGACATCTTTTGTTGGGTAGGGGAGGGCCCTGCTCTCCAGCATGCTCTGGCTTGACATCCAGGACTACAGCTGTCACGGGTGCACCTGGCTAGGGTCCACTGCTGGGTTGTGCTGGTTCTGGGACGGGAGGGCGGGTGGTGACTCCGCCTTATATCTGATGGCATAGCCCTATCACTCCAGGTGTGTGCTGTGCGGGTAAAGACCTTTAAAATCTGGGTGGGGAATCCACGTAAACTCAGAGGACAACTTGTGGAAACATGGGTCCTGGGGAAATCAAACTAGTTTGATGATCAGGCAAGTGTTTACCTGCTAAGATGTCCTGCCAACCCCAAGGGCCTTTATTAGCCCAGGCTGGCATTGAACCTTTTCTTTCTTTGTGTGGAAAGTATACAGGTGCCATGGTGCTTATGTTGGAATGTAGGTTAGGAGACAACTGGGATCAGACTCAATGATCAGGGTTGGCAGGCTGGAACAACCAGGCAACCCTGGCTTTCATGGTTCTGGTTTAGCCTCCCAGGGTGTAAAGAATGAAGCTGACTGCCAGCTTCAGGAACTCGGAGCAACCAGTAAGTGATTTCATGTTTGTTGGAGGCTTTCTGTAGGACAGTGGATCCTTTCCTGAGTACACTTAACCTTCAGAACTAGCCTTAATCCAACCCTGGACCCTTTGGTGACTGAGGGATACTGTAATGCTGCAGGTTTAGCCCATTATAAGGTTGCTCTGAGGGGTGTTAGTATTCTTGCTACCTGTGGATGGAAATGGATCCCATGGCTAGGGAGGGCAGGAGAGGCAGCCTTGCTGCTGTGAGAAAAGTAGTCCCTTTAGGGAACAGTGCTCTGCTTGGGGAGCCACAGCTCTAGGGCAGAATGTTAGGACCTTAAGTGCAAAAACTGGCAGAGGTGAGTGTGTGAGCAGTTCAAAGTGCTGGCCCTTACTGTGAATAGGGGGCATTATCAAAAACACCGGGTAGGGTACATGCCAGGGTTTCCATTTTCTGTCTACAACTAGGTGCATAAAAAGCTCCATCTCCCCTGTCCTGTCCTCATGGGATTTAGGTGAAGTTCCTGAAGCCATGGCTGATAACACTGTTGGGGATGCCCAGCCTGTTTCAGGAAAACCACAATACTGCCTCTCCAGCCCCTTTGTGCCCTTGTGATGGGAACAGTATCTTGTCCTTGTAGGTCCAGTGTGCTGGTTCATAGGTACTAGGGCCTCCAGCCAGGCACAAATGTGACTGTGTGGTACTGGATGGTGTGCCGTGCCAAGAGTCAGAGCAGTTTAGGACATTTAAAAGAGGGCCCAAAGGCTCAATTTTCCCATCTGTGAAATGGGAGATGAGAGCAACAAATCCCCAGAAAAAAACACAAATTTCTACTCCATACTGTCCACAGTATAAAGAAAGTCCCATCCAACACTGGCTTTATTGCTGGGCAGGGGTAACCGATCCTTGGCAGTGCTTGGGCTGAAAGTCGCAAGGGTTGGAAGGCAGGGGGGTTAGCTTTCACCGGGCATGGCAGGCACACTAGCAAGTGCAGAGAGTAGGCGTGTGTAAATGTCAACCCCACGTAGAAACACGGCCTCGTGCAGTCGTTCGTTATGGTCATGTAGCAGCACAGGGGTGTGGTTCATGGGCGAGAAGCCCAGAGCTGGGATCCCCACCTGCAGGGGTGACACAGGCGCTGTCAGGGGGAAGGCAGCCTTCAGACCAGCCCACTGCCTGGCAGGCCCTGTGAGTGAGTAGCTCACCGCTCGGACATAACGGCTGTCAGTGGCCGCAGGGAAGATCTGTGGCTCCAGCGTAAGGTTCCTGCAGGAGAGGAGCCCGGGAAATGGGGAAGAGGGCGGGAAATGGGGAAGAAGGCGGGAAAAACCAGAGGGGCACAGGACAGTGGGAAAGACAATGAGGAGAGGTTCCGGGACCTGGGCTGTGGGGAGAGGGCTGGTCAGTGCTCACATTTCCTTGCAGGCCCCGCTGAAAGCTGCCCACCAGGGATTTGAATCATCAGGACGTGTCATTCGGGGCTCTGTGAATTTCTGGGGAAGGGGAGGGATAAGAGGGTAAGGACCAGGACTTCAGGCTTCACTACTCATACAATGTGCTGTGCTTGGCACAGGGCACACCCCCACCTACCAGGCTTCCAAGTGGTTAGGGAAGCCCAGGTCCTCTTCGAGTCCTTCAAATGCCCTAGGTCTGGGGCTTTTCCTAATTCCTCCCCATCTATTTCACATTTTTCCTTCATATCCTAGCCCAAATGCTTGTTGCCCAGGTGCCCTGGGCCTCAGATGGGTAGAATACATATTCTCTGAATACAAGGTCCCACTTTCCTGGACCACATGTGTGCATAATCATGTAATAACATCACGGTATTATTATTAATTATTTTTCTTTCTTTCAAGAGAGTTTCTCTACATAGCCCTGGCTGGCCTGAAAGGATACTGTGTAGACCAGGCTGGCCTCAGACTCACAGAGATCCGCCTGGCTCTGTCTGTGCTAGGATTAAAGGTGTGCGCCACCACCGCCCAGCTTGTTTTGTTTTCTAAGACAGGGTCTTAGGTAGTAGCCCTTGCTGGCCTTGAGCTCACTGTATGACCAAGGCCGGTCTTAATCCTCCCCCATGTACCCCTGAGTGCTGGGATTATAGGCATTTGTCACATTCCTACTTGATGAGGTGTTGGGGATCCAACCCAGGGCTTCAAGCATGCTAGACAAGCACTCTACCAACTGAGCTACGTTCCAAATCCCCTATCAAAGTACACACACATGGGGCAAGACCCCCATTTTATCCACCATTCACAATGGTCTCTACAGCTATTGCTTACCAGGTAAATGAAACATCTCTTAGAGCTAAGGGAAGAGCCAGATGTATGCAGATGCACCAGGCACACACTCCTATGTTCTCATCCTCAGTAGGACGTCCCCAGTGGCCCTGATGCTCCCTCATCATAGGTCCCAAGTCAGTACCTGAGCAAACTCAAAGGTGACCCCCTCACCCGCCTCCCGGCACCAGGTCTCCAGCTGCTTCTCGAAGGCCTGAAAGGAAGGGAAAAGAGGTAAGCCTCTAGGACAGGACTGAGAATCCAGGCTCTCCCTCAAACCTGGGTGGAGGCGGCACCTTCATGTCAACATCTGGTGCCACTCGGAAGTCAAAGCTGGCACTCATGGCAGCAGGTACCACGTTATAGGCCACACCACCTTCTAGCTTAGTCAGATTCACAGAAGTCACAGCCCCTTCCTTCAGGTGAGGGTTCGCCTGCAGCCTGCAATGGTGCATGGCGGAGGGGGAGGCAGAGGGCAGGAGAAGCAGGCCAAGGAAGGTTACACAAGTCTCCCTCCCATCTTGCACAGCCTTCCAGAGCCACCCCCACACCCCACCCCTTCCTAGGCTGCCTTACCTCTGCTTTTCCTTCTCCCGGAATGCCAAGATGGAGCTTATAACCTTATGCTAGGAGAGTATGAGGTGAGATGTGAGGGTGGCCCTGGGACAGAGCCCCGAATGCCCAGGCTCCCCATGGGCCACACACCAACTTCTCTGCAGCTGTATCCTCAATGAATCGTGAGGCGTGGCCTGGCTTCCCTGTGCTGGTAACCCGGATCCCTGGGAGGAACAGAATTTTCAGCATGAGAGAGCTGGAGACACAGTAAGCCCTAGAGTGGACCCAGGTCTTTTCCACATTCTGAACTCTGAGCCCGTGGCACAGTGCAGGATCCTGGCAACAGATGAGAGCTTGCTCTCAGAACCCAGGAAGGAAAGAGCTGGGAGGCAGAAGTCTAGATGTCTCAGACTTCAACTTCTAAGAGACACTGTGCTGTGCAAGCTCTAGCCCTTTCTGGCTGAGTTGACACCTGGCTAGAAGTAGCCCTTGCGGGGTGAGGGGAAGCCATTCCTTAACTAGCTGCCAGTAGTAAGCACAGGAAGGTGTACAGTGTAGGGAAAGGGTGGTGCACAGTGGGACCAGATGCCTTGGTCAGCTGACCCAGGGGACAGCCATAAAGGAGGCAGCAGAAAGCGATTCCCCCACTCCAAGTCCATACTCACACCAAGGGCTCCGTTCACTATAAAAGACAGTGAAGGCATCAGTGGGGTTGGCCAAGCCTGAGGGAGAAAGCAGGTACACAGAGTGGAGCGTGACTCAGCTTCCCCTTGCAGCCTCCCCACACCTGGGAGGCTTGCCAACCTGCTCACCCTCATCCAGGGCAAAGCCTGCCCGCAGAGCCTGGAACTCAGGCCGCTTCACAAACAGTTCCATCCCTTTGTGACCTCCGACCTCCTCGTCTGTAAAAGTGTCAGGGATGCGACGTGAGATGCCTCACAACACACTTTCGTTCCCCTTCTCGAAGATGCCCCTCCCCAAGCCACTCCTACCAGGCACAAAGGTCAAGTGGATGGTTCTAGGGAAGCGGTGGCCCTCACTCTTCAGTCTCCTCACAGCCTCCAGGTACCTACAGGAGCAGAGCTGAATGTGAAGGGCGTACAGGGTGTAGTCTTGTGCACCAGACACTTCCCTGCCATGCATTTTAGGGATGCCAGAAAACTCCCTGTCCCTTCCTGGGCCTGTTTCCCAACTCATAAAGCATCACGGCAGTAATTTCTGCTTTATACAGAAAGTCAAGATGATCCTCGCTTGGACTGGGGTTTTTCAATCACATCTCTGTGTTCCTGCTGAGTCCAGAAGGCCAGCAGGGGACTGGGAATGGAGGATACTCACTGGATGCTTACACACTTCATGTCCTGGGCGCCCCTGGCATAGATGTAGCCCTCGGAATCCTTGAAGGCTTCAAAGGGGTCATGATGCCAATGTTCCTGAGAGCAAAGGTGGGAAGAGGGGCCCGCCATAGAATTGGGATGGTGAGAGGGTTAGGAGAAGGCTAAGAAAACAGCTAGCTGATTTCCATCCCCCATCGGTTTCCCGTCTCCACCCCCTCCCTAGCGCAGCACCCTTACTGGACAAAGGCTGCTTGTACAGAGCCATGCCATATGAATGCTAAGAGTTAGTGGTGGATAAGCCGGGCAGTGGTAGTGCACACCTTTAATCCCAGAACTCAGGAGGCAGAGGCAGGTGGATCTCTGTGAGTTTGAGGCCAAGCTGGTCTACATAGCAAGTTCCAGGATAGTCAGAGCTACATAGTGAGACT